TGACAGGAGGGGCATAGAAAATATGGGAAACCAGAGAAGAAATGGAAGAGTGTTGTCATGCAGCCTCCATACGAAATTCCAGACAACTTATTTACTGGTTACTGCTGTTGGTGAAAGTGATGGTTTACAACTTATTTACTGGTTACCACTGTTGGTGAAAGTGACAGTTTATAACTTATTTACTGGTTACCGCTGTTGGTGAAAGTGACGGTTTACAACTTATTTACTGGTTACCGCTGTTGGTGAAAGTGACGGTTTACAACTTATTTACTGGTTACCGCTGTTTGTGAAAGTGATAGTTTAGAACTTATTTACTTGTTACCACTGTTGGAGAAAGTGATGGTTAACAACTTATTTATTGGTTACTGCTGTTGGTGAAACTGATGGTTTACAACTTATTTACTGGTTACTGCTGTTGGTGAAAGTGATGGTTTACAACTTATTTATTGGTTACCACTGTTGGTGAAACTGACGGTTTACAACTTATTTACTGGTTACCACTGTTGGTGAAAGTGATAGTTTAGAACTTATTTACTTGTTACCACTGTTGGAGAAATTGACGGTTTACTGGTTACTGCTGTTGGTGAAAGTGACGGTTTACAACTTATTTACTGGTTACCGCTGTTGGTGAAAGTGACGGTTTACAACTTATTTATTGGTTACTGCTGTTGGTGAAACTGATGGTTTACAACTTATTTACTGGTTACTGCTGTTGGTGAAACTGACGGTTTACAACTTATTTACTGGTTACCACTGTTGGTGAAAGTGATAGTTTAGAACTTATTTACTTGTTACCACTGTTGGAGAAAGTGATGGTTAACAACTTATTTACTGGTTACCACTGTTGGTGAAAGTGGCGGTTTACAACTTATTTACTGGCTACCACACAAAATGAAATGGTCATTGCTTAACACCTCTTCATTTTAACTCTTAATAAACCAATACACATGTATGTATGGAAAAATATTACATGTGGGGGGGATATCCCTTTAACTTAGTAGAGGTGTTTTTAATTAATTGAGCTCGATCGAATTGACCAGACCCTGTATCTTTGATTATATAAATACTAATATTAACTGTATTGTCAAGGAGATTAAACAGAAAGATATTCTTTCAAATATATTGTCAAGCAGATTAAACAAAGCTATTCTGTCAAATGTATTGTCAAGCAGATTAAACAAAACGCTATTCTGTCAAATGTATTGTCAAGCAGATTAAACAGAACGCTATTCTGTCAAATATATTGTCAAGCAGATTAAACAGAAAGCTATTCTGTCAAATATATTGTCAAGCAGATTAAACAGAAAGCTATTCTGTCAAATATATTGTCAAGCAGATTAAACAGAAAGCTATTCTGTCAAATATATTGTCAAGCAGATTAAACAGAAAGCTAATAGCAATTTTGAACTGACTTGCTTCCCATTACTTACATAATAATGTTGTAATAGTTTAATTCTAATTTATTAGGTATGATTAAACATTTCATATATTATGAATAAACTGGAATGGACGGCAACTGCCTATTGTGAAAACACGAGAGCAGAGGACGATGTTTTGAAAGTTTTCAGTCTTTCGTCATCTGAAGACGGAAGACTTTTGAAACGTCATCCTCTGCATGTGTTTCTTACAACGGGCAGTAGCAGTCCATTTCAGCGTACTCATAATGAATACTCTGCCTAAACAATCTACCAGTCTGAGATTTTCATATATTAATCATTTTTTCTTCCTTTAGCTAATTCGTCTGAAATCAGATGGAGTTTTGTGTATTTTCATTGGAGTGATGATATTTGCCGTTCATGTCAGTACAGTATTTACAGTGTTACAGGTATGTACAGTATATTGTAGTATTCTGTTCAGCAACAGAACATATTTCACTAAAAGAATAATAACACTTTTCAAAGTGTGTAAGGCCCGGCATGGCCAGGTGGTTAAGGCACTCGACTCGCAATCTGAGGGTCGCAGGTTCGAATCCCTGTCACACTAAACATGCTCGCCCTTTCAGCCGTGG